AAAAAAAAAAAAAAAAAAAAAAAAAAAAAAAAAAAGATCAGGCTCGCTGCTTTTTTTTGTTTTTGCCCTTCAGTGAAGCCTGCCTGCACAGGCTGCTGCTGGGCCACACAGCCTGAGCTGTGCAGGGCTCAGTGCTTCCCCCCGTGGCTGTTGTACTTTGTTAGGGTAGCAAACTAAAACACCTTGGAGGTGTTTTACCTTGCTACATACCAAAGTAATTTAAAGCGCAATATGCCACCAATAGTGTAAACAGCAACTCCATTAAAGCACCGCAAAAGGGCATTTAAGCCACTTTAGAGGCCAATTCTGTGGTTTGTACAAAGGCTCTAGGATTTCACTCTGCCATAGCAGTGTCATAACCACAATATTAAGAGTCAGGCTCCAATCTTGCTGGCTCTCCTTTTGGTCTCCTGAATCTCATACTATTAACTGCAGAGTAGCCTAGCTTCAACAAGAAGGGTGGCATGCCTATTTTGTAGCCTGGTGGTTATGGCACTCCTTGGGAAGGGAGCAATGATGGTCCAAACCTTCTCAGGTTAAGGAAAAGCCTAAAGGTCATATGCTCCTCTTTTGGGCAAATGGTCTAATGACCAGGCTATTGGGCAAAATGTAGGTACAAGTTCCATCAAGAATTGTGACCTGAATTCAGTGCTGTTGATGCAAATTAGGTGGCAGAAAAAATATCTATTTCTCTTGGGCTTAGGTGGAAGAGTTAAGATGCTTCCTAACAATATTCAGATATCGTGATATGCCCAATTGAACAAATTGCTTCTGAATACATGGATGTCCAAGACACTTTGCAGTCCCAAATGGGGACACCTATGTGTTTAGAATTTAGATACCTGAAGAGTTTTATGGCTGCTGGCCCAGGGCCATTTTGAATTTGTCTGTGGAACTTTGGTGGAGTTCAGGCACCTAAAGAAACACTTGGAATTTAACTCCTAGTGTTCTCACTCTGAGGTTTTAGAAGGGACCTGTAACAGGTAAGAGATAAGGCTTTATAAAGTTTAAAAAATGCAGGTCTTTCCTGGGCTACAAAACAGACTGGATTAGTGAAACTGGCAGTTTCACAGGCCTGAGTTAAGCAGAACCGAGTTATACAAAGGGAGCGTCTTAGTCCATCTAATTTTTTTTCTGCATATTTCACATACATCTATAACTCTGCAGCAGATTTTGCAGAAAGGAAGCCTTTGTTAAAAAAGTCCCTCAAATGAAGGTGCTGGAGTTCAAAACAAACATCCCTAAGGCCTTCCACCCAAACGGGAATACCAGATTTGACATTCCGGAGATGTCTGAGGTTAAGCAAAAATCCACAAAACAGAAATACGTATTTAAAACCACCTTTGTCCATCCTAAAGTGATAAAAAGGGAACAAGTCCAATTGAAAAAAAAAATCTTTTAGGTTATCTTTAACAGTGTGGAAGCTGCTAACAGACTGGGGTAGAACCCGATAAAAGTAGTATGTGCATGAAAAAACTTCCTTCTAACATCCCTGGTAAGCATGTTGCTATAAATGACATTGCAGAAATTGAAATTGTAGACGTACCTCATCCCCATGCATGTTAGCAATATACTTGAACTCTGGTATGCCAATCCTATGTTTGGTTGGACACCTTCCCAGAACAAGAACCCACAGGTTTCTACCTTTAAGAGGGGAAGGGGAAAAAAAAATCATTTTACAAAAAGTGTCAAACAATACAAAATTAAAAATAAATTAAGGGTTATCCAGTATAGAACAAACCCGGCAGTCTACCCTCAACACAGCTTACAAAAATAGAACTCTAAAATAATACCTCTTTATTGTTAGATATCAGAACTGTATATTGTTTTTCCTTCAAAGCCCAAGTTAAATATGTGTGAGATTATTTTCTTGTTTACCAAAACTGCACTTTTTGAAGTGTTTACCCATACTTTAAACAAATTCATTTTTTTCATTCATGCTTATTGAGCAAGATAGATCAGAAGATAACCACTAAGAACCAGCTACAAACAAAAAAATTAAAAACACAACTTTAGGTAATACTTGGCCTGTCCTTAAGTAAACTATTTCAACACCATATAAAGCAAGAGTATCAACTTGCATAATAAAATGTTCATGGATTGTTAGTTAGACATCTGGAGACATTATTGTAACCAAATTTATTTTTCTAAGATTAATACGGATAAAGAATGAGTCATAAAAATGAGTTAATTAGAATTACCATTAATAGACCTGAACTAGAATGACTAAGAACACTGATTTCAGTTAGGAAAAAAAATAGTTTTGGAAACTCATGAATCAAGACAAGCCTGAATCTTTTCATACCACAGAAAGTCTCAAAATCACAAGATTTTGTTTCAGAAACCCTTTTTCTGAAATTAAAATGCTTTTTGGTGGGCTGCAGAAAAAGTGGCAGTTTTGAATGAAGTTTATTTCATAGCTGTCTGCCACAGAACTGCAGCAATGACATGGGACCAGGCTCATAACAAGAGCCAGAGCCTGATGGGTAGCTCAGAAACCTGGGTGTCTAGAAAACCTTTTCAATAGCCCACCTAGTCATGTGGAAAGGAAGCCAGGAAGCCTTCGGAATTCATCCGGGCAGAGCTCTTCTGGCAGAAAATATCCAGAATCAATTTGAATTAATTGATTTAAATGAAACTTTGGCTGGGGGTTGCGAGTTGTTTCTTGCATGCAGAAGACACACTAGAACATACAATGCCTAATGGTTAGGATACTCACTTAGGGTATGGGAAACAAGAGGCTCAAGTCCTGATCTGAATCAGAAAGAACAAGAACTTTGAACCTTGGCCTCCCTTATTGCAACTGATTACCCTACCCACCAGTCCATTGGTTATTTTGGGTCCAAAACTGCCTTTTAAAATGCTGTTCTGTCCTGATACAGAAAAATACATAAATAACAAATCTTAAATTTTCATGAGATGGGCAAGCCATTTTCTGCACAATTCCACCTGGATGTGCTGGCTCAAATCACGCTTTCAGATGGGCTGTAAGGAAACTGGAAGCCTGAAACTCCTGCTAGCAAGAAAGCTTGTTTGGTGTGTCAGATGTTTGTCAATTTTGACAAACCTAGACATTATAAAAAACAAAAAAATAGGGGAAGGGGGAAGAAGGGAAGTTTTTCACTGATTTTTTTCTAACCCACTCTACTGATAGCTCACTGATTTCTGACTAGGGTGCAGTGATACCCTAGGTGCTGTGAGACCCTATTAAAGGTGATGCACCATATTAGCACTCTTAGGTACACAAACACCTACACAATTCACAAGATAAACCAGAGATTTCAACAGAAGAATTTCACTGTTATTTTTCTGGTTCAAGTTAAATCAGAGTCATCCCAGCATGCTTTCCAGCCCTGGGCTGGGCTGTGCTGTGCTGTCTGCATCAGAGAGCAGGGCTGGCCCTACCCCTCTGCTCCCTAGCTAGAGCAGGGAGGTCTGGCTGACAAGGGGATGGGGGTCGAGGGGGGTGGTGCAAGCCTGGCTGGAGATGCAGCCCAGTCTACAGGGTGGGGAAGGACTACCCCCACAACAGGCAAACCCCAGCTGGGGTCTGCAGCTAAGGAGTAGCATTAAATACCTCTTCCCCCACTCAAAATTACTGCTGACTGCAACTGTGGACTACAAATCCCAGAGGCACCTGGAAACAGGAAGAGGAAGTGGTGAGTAACCCTGCCAAGTCCTGCTGCTGTAATTCTGGACTGCAAATCCCAGAGACCTTGGGGGCAGCAGGAGAAGAAGTGAACACACAACCAGAGAGCTGTGCTCTAGTCCTGCCCCCCCCTGGGGTTCTGCCCCAAGCCACTGCAGGTGCGTGGCTGCATTTCCTGAATCAAAAGGTAAATATCTGTTCACTTCTGTTTCAATTTACTCTGTGCAGCTTAGACTAACCTGCAAAGACTGAATCGATTCAGCCTCAGGCTTTTTGAATGTCTGTACTTAGCCTGAGAACCACTTTAAGAGCTGCTGGTGCCTAGGTCAAGTTTTACAATAATTACTCAGTGGAGCAGCCCTATGCTAGTTGCAGAAACTGCAGAATTTAAATGGAAACCAACATGCAAAATACCTTTGGACAAGAAGTAGAGCAATCAGCTTGAGAAAGTCCTGAGTTTCAGCAAATTTAATTTTACTATGTCAACTGCGAACCCTACCTGAAATACAACCAGAGCACACATTACTTAACTAGAAACACTGCAGTGGTGGTCCACCTCCAGGCCACAGGGCCTTGTCACCTGGCCTGCAGGGTACCCCCATGGATCTAGAAATTTGGCAGCTCGGGAATACAAGTTAGGTGGCAGAAAAAACTATCTATTTCTCTTGGGCTTAGGTGGAAGCGTTAATTGTTGCGGCTTTCCAAGCCATGGCAATTAATGCCGCCACCACCATTCCCTACTCGCCAAATTTCCAGACCCAATGGGAGTTCTGTAGGCTGGAGGAAACAGCCTCCACACTGATTTGCACTGGTGTGTGGGGCCACTGTATGGCTGGATTAAACACACAGGACCACCCTGCACACTGACCTCAAGCTAGATGTGGCCTGCAGACTGACACCACCCATGGGATCTAGCCTACAGACTAGCTCCACACCATTCTTCCAGACTCTGCAGGACCAGGAGGCTGAGCACCACTGAGTGAATTCAGATAAGACCTGTCCTATACATATTGTGCAATCATACCTGTATGGTTGTTCCTATTAACAGCCTACTGTTATGCAGCATCTCAATTATAATTTAAAAAAACAACAACAAGGAAAAGCCATTTTAAGTGATAGGTACATATTATTCATATTTAAACATACAAATTTAATTGTACATAACTGTAATATTCAGAGTAAGAATCAACATGGAAGTGCATAGTAACAAAACCACTGCTTTGTTTGGTGGAATTGTGTGCCTGCTGTTTTCAATCAACATGCATTTTTAAGCTACTTATCATCAGATGTGTTGTACCTCAGAGTGAACTGTTTGCAATTGATTGCTGTTTGTTGATGCATTATATACACACTTTAGCCCAAATCAGACTTAATGTTGCATGTATTCAAATCAGAAAATATTTGTGACCATTAGAGCTTCAGTCTGACTATTTGATCACTTGTAGTCATGAAGCTTCAGAAACTTGCCTACACAAGACATTTGAAGAAGTACTATGGAATACCTAATGTCTGTTCCCCATTCTAAATACCTGGGTATCAGTTTGATACTGAATACTGGGAGCCCCCCTTGCAAGATACATGTTTAAGGTATTTATTTGATACACAAGCTGATTTTCAAAGAGCTAGACTGACTGGGAATTCTTCATAAAGCACAGCACACACTCCCCTCCTCATCCACCTCAAAAGAGCCCTAAAGTTCACTTCCTATTTAGTGAATACAATTCAACCAGGTCTCAACAACCAACACTTACTATCTAGTAACACTTTACTGCACAAATAATCACAGTGGTATCAGAACTACCTGCAGAGTTAAGTTTCCATTTAATGTAAAAAAAGCCGATAGAATCTAGCCCTCAACAGCAAAGGCCAGACACAATAACTGATGGAAAAGAAACCAAGTATTTAAGAGTGTTATGCTACTGCCCATCACTGCAGCAGCTGAGCATCTTCAATAAAAACATCCCACATCAATAGCAAGTTCCTAATGAATTTCATGGAGTCACTGGCCCTTCTCCCCTTTTTGGCACAAAAATATGCTTTAAGTATATTTTTGATGGGGAGTTAAGATGGATTAGGGCTGGGGTTCTCAACCTTCTTCCCCTTTGGCAGGCCAGATGGGTAGTGCCCAATCAGTTTCTGGGCTGGATCTGGCTGGTGGCCTCGATCCAGAACCCGGAGTAGGAGCAGTGGAGCCCTATCTGACTGCGTGGAATGGGGTGGAGGGCAGCACAGCCCCAATCCAGCCATACAGAGCAAAGGGGCTTCAACCTGTCCCCAAAGAGGAGGGAAGGGGCTGTAACCTGGCCCCAACCTGACCACAGAAGGAGAAGAGAGCATGGTCTGGCCCTGATTCAGTTGTGCAGGGAGAAGGGAGTGGAAAGCCCCATTCCAGATGTGCAGGGGGAGGGGGTTATGGCCCAGCTCTGACCTGCCATGCAGGGTTTGGGAATTTGGCAGTGGGGGAGGATGGCAGTATTAATGGCCACTGCTTCCTTGCCACCACATTTCCTAACCTGTGGCCAGCCCTACGGGCCAGATGCAATGACTCCACGGGCCAAGAGGTTGAGAAACCCTGGATTAGAAAATAAAAAGGGCCTTTGAACTGTGAGAATCAAAGCAGGGAGCCTCTTAAATAAGCAGGGCAGGGTGACACTTTAAAGACTAACTTGTTCAGAAAGGCATAAGCTTTCATAGGCGACCCTACCCTGTCTTCTGCCTGACATCAGGCTAACACAGCTAACTACCTATCTCTTCACAGACATTAGGCATCTTTCAGAAGTGTGATCTCTGCCCCTGGACTGCCTGATATCCTCTGGAAGACTGTCCCCATAGCAGGATTTCCTTGATGGAGGATCCTTTGTCCCCAGCAAGAGTATTACCAAGCGGTTTGCAATTTGTACTGTTGCAGTTCACCTGTCACTATGACTCAAATAGAAATGTAGCTAAGGCTGCACCCATCACTAGTCATTCTTAGGAGTATAAAAACATTATTTGCTATTATTTGGAATGAAAACACTTCAGTAAAACAGATTTTTTTAAAAATAAGTTTCACAATAAATGCTTTGGGAGGGGGAAGGTAATTGCTTTGGCAAAGAGCCACTCCAGTTCCCCCCATGGAGGTTCATAAACTCAACTATTTACCATATTTGCTTGAATACAAGATGAACTCCCCCGCACCAATCAGCATGGGGGGGCATGTCTTACATCCACATACAAGGAAATCTCATGAAATAATATGCTGTCCATCATTAAACTGCTGCCAAAAACAGCATGTGCTCAGCAATGGAAGCCAACTATGAAGTTGATTAAACACAGCCAACACTGAGTATGACTATAAAACACATGGCCCATATTGAGCAAACATACTGATGAGAACCTATCACAAGGATAGGTTAGTGAAGCCCATCTGAATAAAACACATGGTAGTGCCCATTGCATGCAGTCCCCCTAGCACAGACTTTTTCAAGTCATGGTGAGGACTCAGGAACATGGGGTTAAGAACCACATCCTTGACCTCTGTGGTTAGATTCACAAAAGTGGGCAAAATGCGGCCCCATGAGCCGGATGCAGCTCGTCAGGCCATTCTATCTGGCCCACGGGACTCCTAAAAAAATCTAGAAAATGAATATTTATCTGCCCAGCTGCCTGTTACGCGGACCTCAATGGCTTGCCAAAACTCAGTAGGTGTCCCTCCGCCTGAAATAATTGCCCAGTCCTGGGTTAGAACATCAAGGGAAGACAGCATGGTGTGAACTGCAGCCCCTTCAATTCCACTGCACAATGCAGCAGCATCCTATCCTGTCACTCAACCCACAAGAACACCCTCCTCTCCCCACGTAAACTCACAAGACCAGAGCTAAATTGTTTCTGGGCCACTTTCAAGGACTGCACATCACCCCTTTTCCCTTTCTCCAGACCAAACGGAATTATTCTCACACCCTCAGTTTGCATAGCACTTTGCTTGCTTCATGGGCACAGCACATAACATTTGATCAGTTTAAATGCTTAATAAAAAGTATGTTTGGTTTAAAACCAAGAAAAGAATTGTTCTCTACATTTGCTTGGGCTTTACACAGTTGTACCCAGCTCACTGCTGCTACTGCTCATCATCCCAGGTCCCTGGGACTATCTGCTGTATCATCACTTCTGGGCCAATCTAGAGGTGGTCTCTGAGAAAGCCACCATAGTATCCTTTATATCTCCATAGTATCCCTTATTTCTTCCTTCGCTAGAATGTAGCTTCTTGACACAGAACTAAAAAAACCAATAGGGCAACTAGCAGCAATGGCCTCAAACTGAGGCAGAAGACATTTAGGTTGAAAATGAGGAGAAACTTTCTGACTATGAGGATAGTCAGACATTGGAACAGTCTTCTTAAAGAAGCTGTGGGATTTCCATTCTTGGAAATTTTCAAGAGCGGGTTGCACAGACACTTGGCTGGGATGGTTTAGTCAGGGATGATCCTGCCTTGAGCAAGAGGCTGACTAGATGACCTTGTGAGGTCCCTTCCAGTCCTACTGTCCTATGATCCTATGATCCACTATTGCTATCACCATGGTGTTGTTGCACTGCTGGGAAATTTAAGGAAAAGCTCCACATAGATAATAACTGAGTAGAGATGTGGGTTAATCTTTCCAACACCTATATTTAGACATCTGGATTATAGTTTGTATAAGGCTCACCTAAATATGCTCCCATAAACTGAGCCCTTTAATTATTTTCTGGCATTTCCAGCTTCTAAGTATCAACCTTATCATTAAAGACTCAAATTAATTTTTTTGTATTTTGTATTGCTTAGCTTGTAGTACTTAATGAATTTCCAGGATAGATGATGTGCGACTTATTTCTACATTCAGTGAATCACTGCTATATTGCAGGGGTTATCAACCTTTTTTAGTTGGGGTACCTCTGACAGCCAGTCAAGAAGTAGGGAGTCCCCCAGTGGCCAGTAGACAAGCTGGGGAGGGGCGGGGGGGGAAGTCGCCTGCATGGCACACAGCAGCAAAACCAAAAGTGCCGCTGGCTTCTCTGCACCCCTGCCATATACCCCCGGGGCCTTCCAAAGTACTCCCAGGGGTACACATACCCCCAGTTGAAAAACCCTGCTATATTGGATAAATTCCACATCTAAAATAAAGCTTTCTTTAATCAACAATAAGATTACTTCTTATTCTTGCACATGAAGTAATAATTATATACCCTCCTCCTAACTAGTAAATCTACTAAATAGATCCAGAAAGCCTTTCCTCATACCAGGCCAAAACAGACATCAGCTGATCCATTAATAGCATTTCAATTAACCAAGCAAGCTTGCATCTGCAACCATGTCAGAGTGTAGGATACTTAGACTCTGAAGTGAATGCTGCTACAAGTCAGATCATGTAGCCCTTAGCAGTGTGATCAGATTTCTTGGTTTACTAGCATAAAATACCAATATCCCAAGCAAATCAGTCAAAGCAGAGGGAAGGGGATTAGGACACCAGATCCAACAGGAAGGAAATTCAATCATCTATCCATGCTCTGGTCAGCCCTGTTGGACTTGAGTCCCTTTTCAATTTCCCGTCTTGTCCGTTTCACTCACCAGCTCCCATTTCTCTATTTGATGTCTATCATCTCAATCTGCACAGCAACAGGTCTTTTTCTTGTTGAAATCAGGAGTAGCCAAGACTCTTAGGGCAGGGCTGTTCAACTGGTTGCCTGCCATGTAGCTTCTGAGGGGTTAATATATGTATGGCCCCTGGGTTCCTGGTCTGGGCACTGCTCCTCTCCCCACCACTCCGATTGCCACTGGAGTCTCGGAGCTCCCCCTCCCTTCTCCAGCTTCTGCAGCCCACTCCTCCCTTGGAGACAAGGCTGAGGAAGCCCATGGTCAGGTGGCTTGGGGAGACCCAGGGACCTTGTGAAGCACAGCATGAGGGAGTAGCATTGTGCAGCATGTCATCCACTGCACAGCAGGAAGGACACACATGGTGCAGCTGACAGTGTGTGCCTACAGTGCTGGGGGTGCGAGAGGAGGGGGGAGCAGCGCAATAGGGCACAGTTGGCAGCTTAGGGCAGTGCAGCTTGCACAGTGTACAGCCAGGGACGCTGCAGACCACGCAGAACTTGGACAACCCTGTCCCAGTGTATGCACAAATGTATATCTGGAGCCATCTCAAAAGGGGAGGGGGAAACCCTTGCTCCGAATTACACAGCAGGTGTTACGTCCTAATAGTTACCTACAGGAAGGGAAGAGGTATTCAGGGAGCTGCTAATGCCTTCCAGCAGCTGCATGTGGATAAGCCAGAAACAAGTTGTTCTTACTACATTTGTATTGCTTCTGGCTTGTCCACGCGTAATTGTTGGAACATTTCAGGAGCTCCCTTTTGGAAAGGGCTCCAAGTGTACATTTGTCCATATCTTTACAGTACAACTGAAGCTGTGTGGTGACCCGAATTCAGTTCTCTTTGATGAAATTTGGACAAAGTGGCTCTGCCCACCCACTAATTAGGAAAGCTGGCCTTGTTTCAGGGATCCTAAAAAACAGCTAAGAGCCAGGCAAGAATCTATGTTGATCCATTCATGCTCTTTTAAAAAACATCATAAAAACCAGACAACAATTCAACATGGTGAATAGGTCAAGTGCAAAAAACTCAAACTCCCTCAAATAAACTTGTTTATTGCAGTCACATTAACTTGTGCCTGTTACTTAATTCATCCTCCCTAGTACTGATTTTCAGATTCATTTGTCAGAGTTTTGTTTTATGTTAAGTAATAAGTAGGGCTGTGCAAAGCTTCAGTCCATGATTCAATTCGGAGAAGATTCAGCCCGATTCAGAGGCCAAATCTCTAAATCTGAATCGAAAAAAAACAGAAGCAGCTTAAAACTTTCTGAATCGATTCAGGGGGTCTGAAAAGATTTGGAGGTGGTCTTTCAGGAGAACAGAAACTGAGAAGAACGAAGGGGAGCAGGGCAGGGGAAGGACTGACATTTCTAGCTGGCCAGTGACTGTGATCTCTCCCTGAGTCCCCTTCCAATCACAGTGTCCTGGGGAGGGACACAGAAACAGCATATAAGCCTCTGTTTGCAGGCTTTCTGTGCCTTTTGTGAGCTGTTTCTGCCTAAGCAACAATGTCTGAAAGGTACTGGACTGGCTTGGCTTCCTAGTCAGTTTCTTACTACTTTTTGGTCTTGGAAAGAATTGGATATAGCTTAGGTTACTAATTAGAATCCCTCTACTTATCCATTTCTTTCAATTTATATTTCTTCTTGGATTTTTTTCCCCAAAAAAACTTTTAAAAAAGAAAGCTGTTTTTCCCCTGGCAGTGTGATCCATCACTGTGCAGGGAAGCACACGTTACACACACATCATAGAAGAAGTAGTTAGATATTATTACAACATAGAAGAAGACACACATTCATAGGAGAAGGATATTATATATAGTTATTAATAATATTAATTACAGTTATTAGTTATGTACAGATTAAAAACAACACAGAAGAAGAAATCAAATTAACACAACATAGAAGTCAGACACTCAGCTGAAGAAAAAGAAAAGAGGAGGAGGAGGAGAAAATAGATATTTTAGATACACTATGAAACAACACAGAACAGTAAATAAAACACAACACAGAAGAAGAAGTCACAGATTTATATTAACATCACAGAAGTCAAGGAGAAAGTCACAGAAGACAACATCAGTCATACCTAGTACAAATCACACTAGGGACAGCACAGAACTCAGATACAGATTCACGTAAGTCAGAGTCGTAGAAGAAGAAGAAAATAGATTTTTAGGTACACTGTACACAACAATATAGAGCTGTAAACAAAACACAACACAGAAGAAGTCAGACACAGTCAGTCATATATCAGCGAAGACAACGACATATATTCTATTACTACTTACACACACACACATTTTCCAGCACAGGAAAGATTAATATGAAGCATGCAGGAAAGACAGGTGCCAGGTCTTCTGGCAGCGGAGGGAGAGGGGCTAGAGGAGGTAGGGGGGAGCTGTAGCTGCAAGTTCCCCCCAACATGCAAACATAGACGCATCCTCTTTCCTGGCAGCCATGAGGCTTCTGCTGCCAGTGGAAGCAAAGAGGTGGCAGCAGTACCTAACGTCCCTGCACCTGCACCACCTCCCCTAACTCCAGGAATAGTGTCCTTTACCCCAGTTTCATCTCCCAGCATGAGTCTCGCATTGCCAGAAGAGGCACTGGAACCAGGGGACCTGAGCAACCTAGCTAAAGAAATTCCGGGGGCTAAGGAGGAATCTGACTTTGTGCTCCACACCCCTCAAAGTTCCCCAAGACCCAGGTCTCTTTCCTTGGAGGAGGCTGAGGTTGAGATTGTGGAGGCTCAGGCAAGTGGCTCAGCTGAGTCAGCTCCAGCCTGCTGAGGAGGGGGATAAGGCAGGATCCCCACCCTCAACCCAGAAACGGAGGAGTAGTGTAGTGTGGGATCATTTTGAGGTCGCGGATGATCCCAGGTTTGCTATATGCCAGCACTGCCAAAGGCAGATCAGCCAGGGCAAGGAGGTGAAGCACTTCACCACCACAGTGATGCTGCTGCATCTTAGGAGGCAGCACCCCCTTGCCCTTCTTCCTCCTCAGCCTGGCACCAGTGTAAGTGTGCCCAAAGGGAAGTCCCCTGTTTGCTCCAAAGCCCCTATCCCCACAAAGCAGAGGCAGTGGGGGAAAGCCAGAGACAAAGAGGGGCGTCTTGCAAGGGTGAAGGAGATCATCCAGAGCATTGGGGAGATGCTTGCTCTGGACAGCCATCCCTTCTCCTTAGTTGAGCGGCCAGGGTTCAGGCAGCTCATGGCACTCGTGGTCCCATCTTACCAAGTGCCCACATGCACCACCTTTAGCAGTACGGTGGCACCCTCCCTGTATGAGGCATGCAGGGAGTACTTGAGGGAGGAGCTGTGCAAGGCAGGGCTGCAGGTAGCCTTGCACTTCACCTCTGACATCTGGAGCAGCTGTTATGGTAATCACACCTACCTCTCCCTCACAGGGCACTGGTGCAATCAGTCAGGGTGTTGGTGGGCTGTCCTTGAAGTGGAGGTGATGGATGAGTCCCACATGGCAAGGGAGATCATGGTGACCATGAACTGCATGGTGCAGGGCATGGCAAGCTCACCCATGGGTTCTTGGTCACCAACAATGGGGCCAATATGGTCAAGGCCATCCATGATGCCAATTTTCTTGGCATCCGCTGTGGGGCACACAGGCTGTATCTCATAGTCAGGGATGCCTTAGAGGGGGACAGGACTGCCGGTGACGGTGCCGTCACTACCACCCAGCTCATTTCCAAATGCAGGAGGTGGGCTACTTCTACTGTAGCATGCAGGGGGGCAAGATGCTGCGAGAGAAACAGGCAGGGCTGAGCATCCCGCAGAACAAAATCATGCAGGATACGGAGACTTGGTGGAACTCCACATACCTGATGCTGGACAGGCTGGTGGAGCAACATCCATGAGATGGCCTTGCTTAGGGAGATTGGGATCAGCAGTCCACTTAAGAGAGCTGAGTGGGATACCATATCCCAGATCTTGGTGGTCCTCAAGCCCTTCCTCGAGGCCACCGAGACCCTCAGCACTGGCAATGCCCTCCTTAGCCAGGTGATCCCCATAGTGAGGGAATTTGAGAACCAAATGGAGAAGTTCCAGAGGATCAGTGTTGCTGGCTGGGGCAAGCTGCTGTCATCAGACATACAGGCACTGGTGAGGCAGCTGAAGGAGGGCATCAGGAGATGGCTGGATCCCTTGCCAGGCCAGCCTCTGGCTTCTTTACTGTTGTGTGTGAATTTTGCAATATGGAAGTAAAGCCATTTCTTTTTACCTTTAACCTCAATACATAGAAGCAGACACAGCACATACTAGATGGGTAAAAGGAGAAGTGCTGTGTAAGAGCTACTGATAAGATATGAAACTAGCTGAATCTGGTCAACAAGGAACCTTAAAAGAGGTACAAGGATTGTTTTTTTTTCAAGCAGACTACTTGGCAAGAATATATAAAACATCTCAGTCACGAGAGTTAAACTTCGGTGTTCACGCGCAGTGCCACCTAATTGGATAGAGTAGCAGTTTAGTTAGTAAATGATTGAGTATTCTTATGGGCACGAGCTAATCACAAACTAATGCTGAACATCTAACAAGGTATAAAATAGTATTATATCTGGTAGGCGGGGTCCCTCTCTGGAGGCACCTCGCTGCAGCGAATAAAGACTCTATATCCGATTCTGAGTGTCTGCTCTGCGTGATCATTGCCCCAGCCTAGAGCGAACTGCACGTGGCTTTAAGAGCGTAATTCGTAACATTACTATTCCTTCCATCCAGGACCAGCACACACACAGACTAAATACAGGTGCTCCCTCAGTCTGAGGAAGGGCTTTTCAACCTGAAAGCTTGCTAAGATATATTTCTCTAGCTATTCAGTTGGTCTACTAAAAGACACCAGATAGACCCAAAGGACTTTGTCTGCTAGTGCCAAATCCTTAGACCAACACCCCTAGCACCTGTCCCCAGTCAGCTGACAGGAAGGATGCAGGGCCCTGGGCAGTGGGCACGTTTAAGCCCCAGAGCTGGGGCTGGCAGGGAAAGTTCTTTGGCAGCTGCTAGACAAGAAGCTGCTGCAGCTCTAGTCTGCGACAGTTTGGCTGCCTAAGATGCTGCTGGTGCTACTGTGCTGCAGTGCTTACCTGTTATTATTTAAAGTGGTGGACCAGACTGAGGCTGTAGGGGAGGATGCAACCTCATTGGGGCACACTGCCATATCATGTAGAGACCCCAGTGCCAGAGAGGGCGCACCTTAACACAGACACACAGTCAGACAGTGAGGATGCACCTTAACACACACACTGGAGAAGAAGCTCCTGCAGGAGAGGAAAGCAGGCCTCTGTCACAGTTTGGCTTCCTGAGATGCTGCTGGTGCTACTGTGCTAGCACTCACTAAGTTATTTTATACCTATTGTTATTTAAAGTGGTGCACCAGACTGAGGCTGTAGGGGAGG